ATGGTGTGTTTGATTTACATGTATTTATTCTTTGATTAGGGGTTGTCTACTTTTTGTTTTTATCTTGCCATACATATCCTATTTTACTAATAATCATACAAAAGTAATAAAATTCAGAAAGATAAAATCCTACACTATTACAACCATATTGAATAGCATAAAAATATAAAGGCAAAAAAAAATAAAAGCAAGAAAATGGGTCTTTCAATTTAGGCAAAAACACCCTTCAATTATGCATTTTTTTGACCTCCTTCGATTTGGGGCCTGGAGTCAGTGAAGTCATGCCCTTCGATTTTCCTTTCTGCCTCCTTCGACTGGGGGATGGAATCAATATAGGTGTGCCTTTCGTCTGGGCATGGAAGTCAGCATGGCGTGCCTTTCGTCTGGGCCTTGAAGTCAGCATGGTGTGCCTTCTGGCTGCCTCTTTCGTTTTGAACTGAAGGTCAGTGTGGAAGCCAAAGGCTTCGTTTCATACTTCCTGTTTCCTGTTTCTTTCGTTTGAACTCTTGAATAGCAACATGGCCTAAGGCCATGCTAGAATTACCTTGTGGTCAGGTTAGTTCTTAAAGCATGCTTAGGTAAAAAAGAAGCAAAAACAAAAGGATTAGCTCTGAAAACATATTAAAAGGATGGAAACAAAAAAAAGAACAATGGTATGTACATGTTTGAAACGAAAAGAAAGTTTATTTACATGTTATGCAAGAAAAGAAAAGTTCAAGGTTTAGAACAACTTACCTTGCTTGAGGCTGGAGCGTGTGTTAGACTTTGAGTGGTTTCCTTGAGTGTCCCTGGATTCGAAGGGAAGGAGCGGAGGTAGTGTTTCTACTGCTGGATTTGAAAGAGAAGAACAAGTGAGATGTCTTTCTTACTGGATTCGAAGGGTAACAAGGTGTGGGGATGTTTCAGATTCGAAGGGGATAAATGTTTGTATTCTGGGTTTGTGTTTGATGAGTGTTTAAGTGTTTGAGAGTTTGATGATGTTTGAGAATTTTTTGAAGATTCGTTCCTCTGGCCCAAAAGTCCTTCTAAACATGTTGTGGAGCCTCTTATTTATAGGCAAAGCTAGCTGAGGCTTTTGGAGGGAAAACAAAATAATTTGAACAATTTGAGTAACCTGCTCTTTGTAGCGTTCGAGGGATAGTGCTTTGAATGCTATTTTGGTGCAAGAATGGGGGCAATATTTCAGGACTGCTGTGCAGCAATTTTGTCCAGTGTACAAGGCCTGAACTTGGCAGCAAGCATCTTTAAACATTTCAATCTTTTATTTTGACCCTCCTTCGACCAGATTCCTCTTCCAACAATGTTATTTTATTTTCCTCCAACAAGTGCCCTTCGAATGGGCTACTTTTATGCATCCTTCGAAGGAGCCAAATGTGTGACCCTTAAATGGGTCACCAAAACATGCCTTAAGGTGCGTTTTATAAATCCTTCGAATGGGACATCAAGCATGTCCTTCGAATGAGATGCCCAGAGTTGGGTTCGAAAGATGTTGATTCAAAGGGAATCAAAATTAAAATCAAAACCTTGTGAAGGTTGTTCTGTCCAGTCGAAGGCTTGCCTGCCAAAGGTCTATGTGGCCAAACGAAGGAGTGTACGTAGGGGGTCCCTGCTTTGCGACTTCATGCAAACATGCAAAAGATCTTTGTTCAAACGAAGGCTTGCATGAAGGGAACCACATGCCCAAACAAAAGGTGCATGCAGGAGGCCAAAATGTCCATATTCAAAAGAGGCATACAAGAGGAAAAAAAAGTGCAAATCGAAGGATGCCGAAAGGGAGCCTTTTGCCTTGGAATCGAAGGAAGCTATAAGAGGCTTTGTACCTTGTGTATGCTAGCATGGGGGAAGCCTTTTCCGCACAAGAAAGAAGTTATGGCTCAAACGAAGGCTTGTACGCAACTAGTCATCAACTTGTGAGTCAAGGCAAGCATGGAGGGAATGTTTGTCCAGTCAACATAGGCATGCACACATCCAAACGAAACAGGCACATAAGTAGCCATTGCATTGCGAACCTTGTGAGGCCAAAGGTGCAATCGAAGGTGGCATGCATGAAGCTCATGCCTTGTGAACTAAAACCAACGCGCTAGAGGCCCATGCTCAGTCGAAGGATGCAAGCCAAGCTTGCATTGCAAGAGGCTAAAAGGCCAATCGAAGGAGCTGAATTGAAAAACTTGTTTTTTCTCCAATTTTTTCAAAAAGATTATTTTTATCTATTTTCCTCCTTTTTGATAGTTTCCTTTTTAACTTGGTACTGGAAAATCCAAATGTAATTGTGCAAACTTGAACCTTGAGAATCCTTGTGAGAAATTCCTTTAAAAATGTGAGGGCAAATTTTGGGGTACAACAACGACTCTTGCTTACCGCAACATTTGCGAATACAAACGCAAAACCAGTATATCAGTCAGTTCTCCCACCGTATTACAACACCAATCATAACTCTCTCAATTTTTATCATTTGAAAGTGATATTTGACTTTTTGAAAATCTAAAAATGTCCTATACAATCTCTATGTTTATCATTGTTTCATTTGAAAACTTTATCTTGATGTAAGTTGCCTTAACAAAAAGTGTCTTTTTGTTGACTTTTGAAATGATCTATAATGTTTTGGCCCATATCTTTCAAATGAAGCATTTTTTGGCCTTGAGATCAGAGAGGAAAAGTTGTGAGAATTGAATTTCCTTTAAAATGAGCTTTGGTTGAGAAAAATCTGATGAAGCATATGAAAGTTACGCTTGACCAAAGTTCAGTTGACTTCTCGCTAAGAAAACCCTAACTTAGTAACTTTTGACTTTTGATGAATTGAGAGTTTTCTTGATGAATCATGATCAAACCTTGATCAAATGATGAATGTGACTTCAAAATCTTGACGTTGACCAAAAATATTGAAGTTTGACTGTATGTTGACCATAATTGACTTTTTGTCCAATATCGTTGATTTTCAGTCATATGAGCAATTGGCTGAGCAAACTTGTGATGGAAGGTTTGAAACTGGGCATGAGCATTCTTAGAGACATATGAGAAACCATGAAATCTACTTAAGAAATTATAAGCTCAAATTTCCTTGAGAAAAGTGAAACCCTAGTTGTAGGTCAACTGCTTAGGAGGAGAATTTGTCTGATCAAACATTGAGTAACTTTGAACAATTGAAAACCCTAAGAGTATGAGGAGGTGTCTTGAAGAAAATAGGAGGGTAAATTTTGGGATACAACAATTGTTATTAAGTCTTTGTTTATTTTGAAATACTCCATTCTTAGGTCATATTTCTAATTTATGTGAATAAAGTATTTGAGTTGTATTATTGTTTTATCATTCATATACTTTTGAAATATCCAAACATTTGAAAAAGTGTTTGAGTAAAAAAGGGAGGGTTTCAGATTTAGGGGGGATCTGAATCAAAGTTCACATGTAGTATTAGGAAAAGAGACATTGAACTGGGAGATCATATGCATTGTCATACACATTGTCATACACATTGTTTCAACATCGTGTCTGACATCTTATCATTAGTTGAACATAATTTCAATAATTATCTCTTGAGTAAATATTTATTTTTTTGGGAAGTTATGGTTTGTTTGCAAACTAAACCGGTAAAAACTCTTGTTTGTGTTAGGGAATTTTCTTAGAAAATATCTGTTTGATTTGTGAGTTTCGCCTTGAAGAAAAATTCTCTTTTGGTTAATGAAGACTCCACAAGTATTATTGATTTCAGAATAGTTAAAAGCTCATATGTTCAAAATCATCCAAATTAAAATCTCACTTAATTCATGAGTTCAAATTGGTAAAAAAAACCCAATTATTTCTATATCAGCTCGTATAAAATCTCACTTCGATTTGTGGTTAACCTATTCAAAATTTCGGTTCGGTTCAGAGACCAAACTATTTGAAAAAGATGTATATCTCATACTCATTGATTTAATGGATTTGATTTAGAGAATTTCTTTTTACACCCAGTAGTGTTGAGTTACACCTCTGAAAACTCGAAAATATCCTTCAAATGTGCATATCCGAACGCACCTTGCGAATTTGGGATATTGGGTTATTTCAGATATATATATTCGAACGAACCCCTATATTTCATTTTCAGGGAGATTTCAAATATGCATATCTGAAATAACTTAATATCCCAAATTTCTTTTGATTTTATTTTGAAAAGACATTTATTTATAATATATAATTAAATTGAGTTATTATTAATAAAAAATAACTTAAATTTATAATTGAAAAGTAAATTTATGATATGGAATTAAACAATAAATACAATAATTAAAATTTTAATTATAATGGTGAAATGTAATTATCTTTTAATTTTTTACAAAAAATATAAGAAATATTTTTTAATTATAACTTTAAAAGTTAAATTTAATTTAAATGACACTTTTTTATTTTTATTATTGAATTGATAATTAATTATTATGTTGTAATTAAAAAATTTATTATATTAAAAAGATATTTATATTATAACAAAAAGTTGAATGTTATTAATAGTTAATAATATTAAAATAAAATATTTAATATTAAGTGAATAAATTCTTGTAAAAAAAAAATTTAATATTAAAATAAAATCAAAAGAAATTTAAGATACTGAATTTTGAAAATATTTTGAATTTTTCTCTTCTTTGATTTATTTGAGATTCTAAATATGAATGTTTCACATTACTATTTCCTAGTACGAGATGAATATGTACAACCAAAAAGTAATTAAAAAATCCCAAATGATTGCATTTGCATCTGTTTAGATAAGTGATATGTCAAGAAGTAGGTGAGTTCTTAGTTCTTACCATCATGTTTCCATTCACCTAAAATCCAAAACAGTCTTTTGGAACCTTTCCCATTTCACATAGAAGGATCGAAATTTGACTCTTTCAATTTTCAGTTTTCAAATCAGAAGGATCGAAATTTGACTTTAATTCTTCAATTCTCCAATCTCGTGTTTTGTTTTTATTCTTCAGTGAGTTTGTGTTAGGGTTTTCAATTTCGAAGATTCGTTCATCGAAATCGAAATTATGTTAGGGGAAGTGCAACTTCAGCCTCCACCTATTCAGCAAAACCCTAGTGATTCCGATCCTTTACTCGGTCGCAAAGACGAGGTTCAAGATGATGATGAGTCCCCTGGAAGTTCTACCGAGATTGGGAATCAGGAAGATGTTGAAGCTGGGTTACTCCCTTGTTGTCGAATTTGTCTAGAAACTGATTCTGATTCTGGTGAGTGTTTGTTTTCGATTTTGCGCCAATTTTTTTTTGGAGTTCTTGGTGTTTCTTTGTGTTAGTTGAGAGTTTGTTTTACCCGTATGTGAATTGGATAATTTAATTAAGGACTAGTTCGGTTTGGCTTCAAAATTGGTAACATTTTGATCAGATACTGTAGTTTTGGCTTTCCAATTGATCTTGTTTTTTGGTTTTTATTTCCTTCCTAGCATGACATGGATAACAATGGATGCTTCAGCTTTCCATATTAGTGTGGTTCGTTTTTTGAAAGTTTGTACTTTTTGACACTGTTTGTCACTCTGCCTTAGCTAACAATATGAACTGAAATTGGGAAATTTGACGCTTCTTGAACGTTAATGTTGTGTTCCGTAGTGTAGTATTTGAACATATTTTCATTTTAATAATTCTCGCTTGCTGGTTAATAGCAAAGAAGCTCTTGGTGTTAATGGAATAACTGCTGTCTGCCGATTTGGTCTTTCGGTGGTGGTTTTTCTGTTTGGCTTGGTCACCTTTTAGTTTGTGTTTGATGCATGTGTGGTGCTTATTAAATAGCTTTCATGGTTTGTGCTGGGTGCTTTAGTCTAGAAGTTTTGGGTGTATGGGGCCGTGGGGGTTTTGTTTAGCCTGCATTGGTTTTGTTGGGGGAGAATTTATGGGTCTGGGGTAGGAGTTTTGGTGGGGCATCCCATGTTTTATTTTCTTTGGTTTTTCTGTACTCTACCTAACAATCTTGCACAACTTGTGTAGGATTTGGTCATTTTAATAAAATTTGCAGCTCAAAATAAAAATAAAAATAAAAATAAAAATGGAATAAACTAGAATATAGGAAAGCAGTATTATCATTCAATTTCATCGGTTTTCTGTTGAATGTATGCATTTACCTAAATATTTTCAAAGAAACGCCACATCTTCTATGTTTAAACTTCTTATTTTCAGCATAAATTAATATTGTGATTAGAACGTGAATTATCTTGTGTGTTATACATAAAGATAAGAATGGTAAAGATTGACTGGTTATTAAGTTTTTATTTTCCTTTACTTTTTGACCAGCGTATCCTTATACTCGTGCATTGCCTGTGCTGTTAAACTGATAAAGCTACATGATATTAGCAAAAATTAATTTGGCTGCTATTACATGGGTAACACTTGTTTTCCTAAACCTATTTTTTGTTTGGCTTTGTAGAGGATGAATTGATCTCTCCATGCATGTGCAAAGGAACCCAACAGTTTGTCCATCGTTCATGTCTTGATCACTGGCGCTCAGTAAAGGTATATGTTTTGATGCATAATTATAACTGCTAGTCTTTACTGGTTGAGATCGAATGTCAATTACATAAACTGTTTATTTTTGTGCTTCATAGGAAGGATTTGCCTTTTCACACTGCACCACCTGCAAAGCCCAATTTCATCTTAAAGTTGAAAGTTTTGAGGACAACTCTTGTCATAAAATAAAGTTCAGACTTTTTGTGGCAAGGGATGTTTTCCTTGTTTTCCTGGCCATACAAGCTGTGAGTATTTTAAACATTTTATCCTTTTTATATTGTACGATCAAGTTTTCAATGCTTCTATATTTTGGTTTCAATTCGATCTCGTTTTAAGCGATCCTAAAGGGAGTGTTATTCATTATTTCAATTCCATCCTACATTGATTATCACGGTGAAATGGACTTGTTACAAGTGTTTCTTTTTCCAGATAGATGGTGCTCATCTTATGTGATTGCTAAACTGAACTTTCATGTCAATATTCGGGTAACTTAGTATCTGTAGTTATTGAAAACAAAATGTCTATATTCTGTGGACCTAGGAGCAGTTAGATATAGAAGTTGTGATTGTAATAGGATGAAGAATTTCATTTTAATTAGGGTGTCTAATAGGATGACCAGGTGCCTGCTATGGTATTGGTAATTTTAGACCTCTTAAATTAATTCATTCTAGTTTTTTTATTTATTTATATAAAAATTGATTCTATCTGGGTTGATCTGTTTAGTTTTTGACATATCTTGTCTAATTGTGTAATGTTCGAGTTTATATATGTCAAATGTTTGGCGGAGGGGGGACTTTGCATGCAGGAAATGTCTCATTCTTTGTTATCTATTTATTTGCTAGGTGATTGCTGCTATTGGTGGCTTCGCGTACATCATGGACAAAGATGGGAACTTCAGGAACTCTTTTGATGATGGGTGGGATAGGATACTGTCAAAGCATCCAATACCATTTTATTATTGTATCGGTAACCAATGGCTGAAACTCCTCTGCATTTGTCCTTGGTTTCTTGCCTTGAAATTTTTAGATATTAGGGGTCATATTTCTCCACATCATCCGGGATACTTGTAATCTGCTTTGAGATTTTCCTCCTTCATGTTTTATGTGAATCCCAAAGAATATTACCAAGAGAATGTTGTCCACCTGTGGTCATGTTGGAGATGAATGAGACATAAGTAGACACCTGAATACATTTAATTATAATAAAACCAAACTGTATTAATATGAAAAAGTCCTAACGTTAGAACAAAAAGTTATAGCATGAGAAAAAAAAATATAATCATTCATGTTTTATTGCTTTGCGGGAGGAAAAGAAGAGACTGCATGAAAAGTAATTTTTAACTTGAACTACTAATTCCCCTAGATTTTTTCTTTTTTGCATGGTTCTTAAGTTTACCATGAAATATATATCAAAATATTTTAATAATCTATATCATATTTCATTTATTGGATCTTCGATGTTTAGATAATTGTTCGTTGAGATATAATTATTTGAAAAGCTATGGCTTCCCCCCTTCTTTGTCTCCCTCCCTCTCACAGTTAATATCCTTATTCCAGGAGTGGTGGCCTTCTTTGTACTCATTGGATTTTTTGGCCTCATACTTCATTGCTCTTCCCTCAATAGCAATGACCCCAGAATGGCCGGTTGTCAAAACTGTTGTTACGGATGGGGCATCTTCGATTGCTTTCCCGCATCAATGGAGGCATGCTTTGCCTTTGTGGTTGTTTTTGTTGTCATCTTTGCAATTCTTGGCGTAGCTTATGGTTTTCTTGCAGCCACCATGGGAATTCAGAGAATTTGGCAGAGGCATTACCATATCCTAACCAAGAGGGAGCTTACAAAGGTAATGTGACGATGCTTAGTTGAATGTCCTTATTGTTATATATGTTCTGCTAAATGAAATCTGTCATCGGGAGATAGTATTTTCTATATCTTTTGATACTCTATTTGAATATGATGCTCAGTAGGCTTATTTAAACCTATATAAATATTTACAGGAATACGTGGTAGAAGATCTACAGGGCTGTTATGTCCCACCCAAGCTAGACCCAGAACATGAAAGTCGCCTGAAAATGCTTAAGCTTTTGTGATTCACGGAACAAATCTGTAAAAATGTGTTTTTAAATTATTCATGTATCAATTTGTTGCTTTATTTGATGGTTATAATCTCTTACGCCAACCTTGTTTGCTAGAGCTTGGAAATGGTTTATATCATTGTTTTTTTAAAAGATAAATCTGTGATCCTACCAGATTCTGTAAACTCCAAATCTGACTGTTGGATAATATGAGGAAAATATAAGCAGTTAACTGTCCATGCAATGGACTTACCTTTATTTATTCATTGCCATTGTCTTGCTGTATGTTTAGATGGCCAATTCACAAGATAAGTTCTCTAGGCATGTAATTTCAGCAGACAATTATTATCTCAGAACTAGGTCCTATTCATGTTATCTGCATCAATTATTATCTTAGAATTAGGCTCTATTTAGGGTTTAGGGTTTAGGATGCTAGCAATTATGAGAGTGAGTGAGTGATTATGAATACTTGACCCTCTCAAGTGAGAGGGTATTTATAGCCTCCAGTGTTGGGCTAAGGTCTTCAATGATGGGTCATGATGAGACCCAACAACGAAGGCTGTCAGGGTTTACGTGTGTATGGAGTCCAACACGTGGTCTGAGAAAGCAGGAGTTGGACCCGTTATCTCCGGAGGGCGGGATCATGATGATGTGGACACATGGACTACATCCTCCTAGCGGACACGTGGGAAAATGTCCAACAATTCTTAGATTGGGCTGCATGTTTTTGGGTCTTTGGTAAAGGCACTGGATTGGGCCTCCCTAACGGTGGGGCAAGTGTCGGCCCAGTCCAGAACAGAAGCCCCCAAGTTATTTCTCTTAGGTGAAAGAGTGTTGACTTAAGTTCAGCTCCACTGTCGGGGGAACATCGCCCGAAAGGGGAAATTGCCCAACTCTGCCAGGGATAACTCGTTGGCTTATGTCGAGGATTCAGAAAACATGCGTGCGGCATGGTCGACCAGGTCAGTGGGTGGTCCATTGACCGACTTTAATTCTGACATTGTTGGTTTGGTGCCCGACATGCATATATAGTCATAGGATGCGAGGAGTTTCCTCGAGATTCTTCTTTGGCGTGGCTGTCTATGAGGCGTTGCTTCGATAACGAGCGTTTACACCGGCTTTGGGAGAAATAGTATAAAAGTTCTTGTAGGTAGGGCTGTGTCATGAGGTCGCGCGTTTGCCCACCACTGAGCGTGAAACGTCACCAATCTGCTTGTATACAATGTTTTGTATTTGAGTCGAGGATGAGTTCGTCTCCAAAGTAATGATGACTTTTCGCGTGCTGCCTCGTGGGGTGCGAACCATCTATAAAAAGGGGAATCCACAAGCTCATTTGCCATTCTCAAGCTCTCTTCTCCACTCTTCTTCCTTCGCTTGTGGATCTTCTCCGTTCCAGCGCCATCGTAGAACACTTCAGAAAAAATCTTTCCAAGTAAGTCATATATTCTTGATAACGCTTTTTCTCAGAACTTTTAGATTAAATACTTAGTTTTTGTCATGAACGGATGAGTTCTTGGGTGAATATCCATGGGTTCTGCCGTGAATCTTCATGGATGTTCATAGAGTTCATGGTTGCGGATGAAGATTCATAGGTGATCGTTATAGATGCGTGTCGGGGTCATCCTCCCCGAATGACGGGGATTATTTTTTCGGTCGACCAAATGTCCTCGTGCAGGGCGTGGTTCATTCCAAGGTTGGTTGTCGAGGGCTTGGGTCGAGGTCTATATCCTGACGCATTCATCGTTATTTCACTTGATTTGCGGCGGAAGGGTGAATTTGATGATGTCGAATTCACTATTTTCCCCTGCCTTTCAGGTACGGTGGCACACCAAGTCGAGGGAGATGCCATGCCCGCCACCTATGAGGGCGACAATACTGTCGAGGAAGACCCTTTGGTCTGGGTCGTGCCCGAGCCTAGGAACAAGAAGTCATGTTTCTCGCAGGACGCTTCTGATGCGTTCAATTGCCCAGAGGTTCGAGCAGAGGGTGCTCTTGTAAATTGGACTCTCCAGATCCCTCATCAAAACAGGAGGATATGCTCGGCATACTCGGGCAAACGCTTTCCCATGTATCAATTTGCCTTTAAAGAAGCGGAGACGCGTTTGCCCTTCAACGATTTTCAAGTGGGGGTTTTTCAATGGTTACAATTGCCACCTTCTCAGCTTCAGCCGAATGCGCTTGCGTTCATGCGCACATTCAAGCTTGTATGTCAATATCTTCAAATAGGCGCCACATTGTCCCTCTCCTTCTGCATCTTTCATTTGCAAAGGCAGTCCATCAGAGGGGGACAAACATGGGTGTCCTTTAAACAATTTGGGAAACTTTTTCGGTCGTATCTCGAATTTGTTCGCCACTTTAAAGAGAGGTACTTCGTCGTGAAGCCTCTCACGGATGTGGCCGTGGCTGCATTGTACGATCGCTTGGAAGAGGTCTAGGAAGGTCGAACAATAGTTCGAATGACAGCTAGATTTCCTCTTGAATGACAGTGGAATCACTTCGAGCAGAAGCCCGAGTATTATGTAGTGAAGCCTGAGGACTTGGATGCTCAGGATCAACTTTCCTATGAGAAGCTGGTCTCTTATGTCATGAGTTTCACCCCGACGAGGTGTGTGGACGTGGACAACAACTTCCTTTTTGATGATAAAGGGGAGTATCTCTTCGTTAACAGATTGATAAATATAAAAGCGATGCTCGAGTGTTCTTCAGACGAGGAGGCTCCAAGACTTTTAGGTAGGAGATATGTCTGTGACATTTATCTTTGTATGTTTGTCTTGTAACTGACAATTTCTTTTTTGATTGAAGATCGGATGGCGTCCCTCTCTAAGCGCTTACTCAAGTTGAGGCCCAAGAATGCCTCCACCTCAGGGCCCAAGAGTCAGGCTGCTCAACTTTAGGAGCAGGCCAAAACTTCCACCCGAGCAAGTGGTTCCCCTTCTTCCTCGAAGACTCAGACTCCCCCTCCCGAACAAGAGGCAAAGAGGAAATGCGTGGAGGATCCCGAGCGGGTAGCGCCTGAAGGTGACATGGGAGCTGGGGAGTTTACGTGTTGCCTCCATGGTACCTCAACCAGAACATCTTCAGCGAGGAGAGTTCTCTAGGTCTTCGCGAGGAGGAAAGGGAAGCAATCCTATCTGAAGATAAAGAGACCCGACATAAGAATCTGGCGGATGACGTGGCCACCGTGATGGGGATCCTCGAGACGACATTGACGCTGAACGATGAAGCCGCGAGCTCACAGGCCGCCCTTGACAAAGCTTACGCTCGAATCCAAAAGCTGCAAGGGATAAATGAGAAGATGAATGGCGACTTCCTCAACCACGAGGCAAAGTATGAGGCGCAGGTCCAACTCCTCAAAGATCTGAATAAACTGCGACCTCAACTAGAGGCCGTGAATAGAGAGAACGAGCGATTGGTCGGTCGGGTAAAAGAGTTGGACGCGGCGCCCGACGAGGAAGAGATTGACTTGGAGAAGGCCCTCGTAACTAGGAGAGATCTAATTGCCCGGATTCACGTGCTTGAACAAGACGTCGTAGATACTCTTAGTTACGACTTCAACACAGCTGTGGAGCAGCTCAAGATACTTAACCCCGAGGTCGAATTAGTGGTCGAAGGCGCAGGGCCATTTAATCAGGTGGTTGATGGTAAGATCTTTTATCCCTCCGACGATTATCACGTGGACGAAAGTGATGGGTGAAACAACCGACTGAAAATCATCAAACAATGAAGTCGCCATCGAACATCCTTTATCCCACATGAAGGGAAATATAAACATCGAGAAAATCTAAGAAGGAAGAAGTCACGGTCTTGCGACCGAGAGATCGGGTAAGGGAGTCTGTTACGCGAGAGGAAAGTATTAACACCTCACACGCCCGTAGTACTCTACGGTATCCACTCTTGTTGTCTATCTTATGGGTGTGTTTAATCTATGCTTACTGTTTACTATACTAAAAGGGAAGAATGCATGCAGAAGAAAGGGGAAAAGAATGTAGGGAAAATAAAATTGTACTCGCTTGGGCCCTACCCCAATGTCTACGTATCCTTTTTGAGGAATCAGAGCTACCGTAGTTCGACTCACATCTTTTGTTTGTTTGTGTTTTTTATGGACAATGTTAATTCTGCCTTCTGCCGCAACTCGACCTTTGGAGACTTATGTGTTGGCACAGAAGTAAATTAATCATGTCCTTACCTGAAAAGGGTTTTAGAGAAAAGGTGCTTGGACGCACAAAAAGGTTTGATTTGGTTTGTATTTTTGTTACCTTGAAAAAGGGTTTAGGTACGATTAGCATGTTTTTGATTTGCTAAGAAAAGAAGTTTTAGTTTTAGATGCAAGGATGCAAAAAGGGAAGAAAAGAGTCTAAGGGAGACTAGTCTATTTCTAACCTAATATTATCATACAATGGTAGTCCTACGTCAAGGATGAAAGGGGAAATATCTGCCTAAAGTTAGCATGCATGATTTACAACCTAAGGTCTAACTTGCGTCCGAACGGAGCAAGCGCATCCTAAGGGAACATGGTATGTACAAGGATAAAGAAAACAAGCTAATAAGCTCAAGAGAGCACACCTAGAGAGATCTTATCTAAGTTAGCATGCTAAAGAAAGTCTAGCAAAACTATCCTATAGGGAACATGCAATGAGAGCGAAGTCGTGATCTCAATTTCTAAATTGAGTGACTCATCGATCAACAAGAAATAACAGAAAGCGATAAAATCTTATAGGGAGCATGCACTGAGAGCGAAGTCGTGATCTCAATTTCTAAATTGAGTGACTCATCGATCAACAACCAAGGAAACAAACACAAGCACAACACATATAGCAAATGAAGCGTGGAATGCCTGCTACAGGTCTTTAAACAGCGATTTCGAGCACACGTTCTTTATTTCCTACTTCTCATGGTATCTAGAAAAGCGGTAAAGTGCGGAAATGAGGAACAAAATAAGGTCACAACGATACCAAACGGAGAAGGTCCGTTGCCTCTTCAAAGCCATGCAAGCAATAAGAAAACGCTACAGAAGC